GTAGGAGTTTCAATTTTATGAAGTATTGTAAAATTATTATAGGTTCTTTATCAATTTTAAAATTATGTAAGACGTGAGATTGATATTCGTATGTTTTATGTACTTGGCTGGCTTTATTGTAATCCCCGGCTTTTGTTTATTTATATGAATGACGAAGTCGTTAGCGTTTCGATATTCACCTGCGCCTAAAAAACGGCTCTGAAAGGGCTTCGAAGCGGGGCTGGCGTTGTCTTTAGCAGACGCCGGTGGCGTGCTGGCGGGTGGCGACGAGACCGCGGATGCTGCGTTCGACGCCGGTGCCCTCGACAAGTATTTCTGCTTCATTTCCTCGGTGGTGAATGGCGCACCGGTACTGCGGATTCCTGATCCCGTCGAGCTTTCGGAGCCGGTGCTCGAGTCTGATGAAGCGCTTCTCGTCGCAGGGGCATGAGTATCCGTCGAAGTTCGCCTGCGAGCAACGATATTTCAATTAACGACTTCCTCGATTCGGTAAACTCGGTGGCGCAGCAGACATTCCGACACCGCAACTCGCGTCGGTGATATTAGTTTACATTGTTGCTCTTCTCTGTTCGTCCTCGCGTAACTAATGATCTATTTTCTCAGGGACGGGGCGATTCATAACACGCATTCCGGTGCAAACCTGACTTTTGCGGTCTTCCGGTTGCTAGTTGGGAGTTGTGGAATGAGTGGAAGGCGTAGCATTGTTCGAATTCGGCATCGCGTTAGCATCGGACACGTATGTACACTTTTCTAGATGAAGAGCAGTTCGTTAATTTCGACGAAAACTACCGACTCATCCGAAATAGAGAAAAACGCGGCATACTTTTAAATTGCAGCTGGGTGGTATTAGAATCTTCTGGCTCGTTAAAATAGCTGACAACGTCACGAATCGAGAATTCAGGGGATAATTGAAATGAACGAACGCGTGAACCATTTTTGAATTGTGCGAGTTTAAATGGCGAGGGAAAAAAGTTTGCTTCTAACCACTAAAGGAGTGGCTGTCTTGAGTCTTTTGGGTCGAATCGTTTCCGAACCATTACGTTTTCTACTATTAATGAGTACGATAAAAGGGGTTACGGTTTTCCGATGAAATTTTTCTGCTTTCACGGTGGCGCCGTGTTCGAACAATTAGAATGTAGATAATAGTGCTGGATGAGTGTCGGCAGTGAAATTGAACGCATCCCCGGAACTTGGAGCATTCAATCGAAACGATCCGTTTCTACTGAACGGACATAAATCAGCCTGTCCGGCTATGTTATGGCTCTACTACTAGAACCACGATCGAATACGGCCAGGCTATACCGTATTACACTGTACTCTCTATTTCGCCATCAGTTACAGCCGTGTAATTTGTCACAGGAAGATCACCGTACGTAATAAAATCAAGGATCGATTAATTAATCAAAATCAGAAGCAGGCATGGACGAGATGTTATTTCAAATATTACGTTAACTAAGAAATTCTGTCGTTTTTAGGTTTTCATACTAGAGTTAATAATTTAATTATTACATATTATAATAATGTTCGAGGATATAAAATTGTATCGTTCTTTTTGAAGAGTAGAGCAAATGCTTATCTAGGCTTCATTTTTTGAATAGATTTTGTAACTGTTCTATTTTGCATAAGAATCGGCAGTCTGTTCATGAAACATGAAACTCACCTCGCAGGCATCGGCCTTCGTGCAGGTTCCTCGGGTTCTCGTTCTGGAGGTGGTTCCCTTGGGGGTGGATGCGCAGAGGCGGGCGTTGTGGTCGGTTGTCGTTCCTCCACCGTTTCAGTCACGGGCACGGCCGTTTTGTTCTGCTTTTTGATCCTGGAAATCTCGTCGTCGTCGCTGGTCTGCCTGGCCATCGCCGTCGGTAATTTCCTCACTTGCACCTACGCGATAAACAGAATTGTCTTTCTAAGCAGGATATTGTTGACTGATAAAACGTCGACGAAAAATTCTGAATGAATCGCGGCGAAACGTCGCCCGCGGATAGGAACCCACTGATTAGGTGCTTGTAAACGAGGCATCATTCTCCTGAGCATACGCCCACTGTGTACGTGTGCGGTTAATATGCGCGCGATGCGATTATTATGCTAGCCTGGTTGCACGTAAGTGCGATAGCGAGCGAACAGATGCATGGAACGCTGTGGAGAGAGAGAGAGAGAGAGAGAGAGAGAGAGAGAGAGAGAGAGAGAGTTTTTCGCAGACGAACACGAAACAAAAGAGGCGGATAGTTTTCTCTTAATGAGCAAAATATATATTCGTGTATTTCACAAGTTCCATTTTGTATTATAATAGAATTTCGAACAAAAATTGCATATAACCGCTGACTACAAAAGTAAATTTAATCTAGTCCTGTGCCGAGTCATCTACATATTCATAAGCGGAGATCGAACCGTGCATATTTCATATTGCGGCGCGCCGTTGTTTTTCCACTGTGTCGAGATATTGAATTATTTTTACATTCGTCGAGATTTATTCCCCTTACGTGTGCCCGCAGAAGGGGCAATAACTTGTTCCCTACGTTCTACGGCTGGCGCGCATACGTTTGACCAATTAAATATTTAAGCGCCCGTTGAATCCAGACGATACTGTAACGCGAGATACCGAGGCTACTTTCGCCGTGCCTTTGCTCGTCCGCAGCCTCTCACACTAACCCGTGGCCGCATTTTCGCCTGCCATTACAAGGGAATCCTTGCGCGAAATTGTGTGCGCTGTCGGTGTCACTGTCAAAAATAAATATCGCCGGTGTAAAAAGTAAACGAAACGTTTCAATTTATAAACAACCGCGTGTGCACTTTAATGAGTGGCGATCGCTTTTGTCGCGAAAGGAAATTACGGTTCGGATCGGTGATGAAAACCGTTCGTTCGTTCGATGAACGCGAATGCCGGTGGTACAATTATACACGCAACAATTTCATTTAATGGGTGTGCTCTATAAAAAAAAAAGAAGAATCTCCATGTGAGAGCGCGGAGAATGTATCGTGCGGTGGGAACTGGCGCGGGCTGGAAAATCGATAACTACTGTTAAAATTGAACAAAGCCAGCAGCATCAGGCAAACAGGAGCACGCATTTTTAAATTAAATTCCACGATTCCCGCGCAACAAATTGTAATTACAAACAACGTTCCTTCTCTTCTTGAATAAACTACGTGAAAATAGTATCGGAATTAAATCGCGTTCTTAGACTGGAACAGTCGGTGTTCACTTTTCTCAATATCAAATTCAATAATGCCGTGATAATAAGTTGAGATCGTGAAAATGTGGGAGTGAAAATATGAATCAAGTAACCTGAGGCTTTGCTGGCTGGGGTTGCGGAGCGGGATGCTGTGCCGGCTCTTCTTTTTTCCTTTTCCCGACTCTCTCATAGTCTTGAAGCTTCTTCATGACGCGCGGCGAGTCGGTGAGACGAAAAATCCCGGAGAGCGGACCGCGCGCCGCGTCTTCCGTGTCCAGGACACGTTCGCGAAGTCCCGAGGGCTCCTGCGATGCCGACGTGAACCTGACCGTCGACCTCGAGTCCCCGTCGGAGTCGTCACCGTCCCTGTGACGCATGAATCGACTCCTGTACCTCGACTTGTTCCTCGGTACTTCATATTCGGGCGCGTCGTACCTGTTACAAAAATTTCTTTTCTAATTATGATTTTTTTACTTAAATTTTACTTAAATATTTCAGATGTGAAAAAGCGCGAATTAAAATGTTCTTTTTCCTCTGCATCCACTCGTTACAGATATGAGAACTACCCTTTTCATATTTTAAGCGACGGTAATAAGATTCGTATTATTCAATCATGATACTGCTTTTTCATTTTTCCCGGTAGATGTGATTAAATACATTAACCAGGAGAGTTACAATTGATCCTATATGTGTTAGGGACAATGCCATTCTCTCCGGTGACTGGGAAACCTTATTAGCGGAACGTACACTTGAATCGAGAGGTAATCTCGGAGGACAATAAAGCGCGTACTTCTGTACGGCGATCAATCATCGATCCTAGTGATCTCGAATTAAACGCGTTTTGTCACAGGAATCACCGTTGTCTAAGTATACATTTTAATCCCCCCCCCCCTCTCTAGGTAATTGTAGATTGAAATTAAATAAAACGTTGCTTTCGTTATTTTCTCTCGATGTGATTATAATAAAACGATATGTCATGTGCTTTTCAATTCGGCGTCCTTTAACGTTGAACGTAAAATAATTTGAGAAGCGAGAGGATAACAATCTAACTGGAATTTGTATATCGGAGAGATAAGAGAAATTGTGTTCCTCGTTTGGAGCAATTTTCGTTCAGCTCCAAGCGTCGAAGGGATAACGATTTCCACTTTCGTCGATTAATTTCTTTTAATGGGATTCCGCTCCGAATGAAAACGGTACGTTTTGCTCCGCGTGATTTTCCGGAAACTGGGTTATCTGCCTTTCAAGGCAGTGCACAGCAATAGATTCATCGGGTTTATCCGAGTGTTGCTTAATTATCGCTTTACGGACACGAGGATGGCTTTGTACAATGAGAGAAAATCTGCAAGGGAACGAACGTGCACCGGCGAAACGGTAGTAATTGATCTCGTTCAAATTCGCCAACAGTAAAAACCATTTATACTCCGCGTTAAAAATGTGGGACGTGAGTTTCATTTAACCTAGCTAAAATTATGCAAAGAAACTCGGGCAGAGAATTAAGTAACGTCGCGTCCAAGAGGACGGGAGATTCCGGTTACAGTTATTCTTTTGTCAGTTCACTGAATCGGTAAATCGAATCCCGATTTTTAACGCCCTTTTAAAATCGAGCGGAATCCTGTTGTTTCTTGAAATTAGTTCGGAATTGGAAGAATTTGCATTCTACCGTTTCGTATAATCACGTTTGATTATCAGCTGGAAAATCTAATTAGTACAAATATTCCTACCGGTACTCTTTATCTCTTGCATGTTGCACCGATGTAAAGATAAACGAATCTAAGGTATAATATAAGTAAACGGAAATAAGAGAAAGGAAATAATGAAACAAAGCAAGACTGAAAAGGATTAGAAATACCTTGAGAGAATACAATATCTTAGGGAATGGAACGAGAACAAGCAATCCTATATGGAAAGAAGGAAAATCGCGCCTTCGAAAACACGGCGGTGTTACCTCAGTTTTCGCACTCAGTTAATGAAATACTGGTTCCCTCATTATCCTCTTACACATCAAAAGTTTTTCCATTTACATTTTAGCGAGGTGACTTAACAAAATGGGCCGGTGCGCGAGATGCGTGCTACGCGGAACCATCGGTAATTAAACTCTAGCATACTTATTTCGCCTCGAGGAAATTGTTCTCGTCAGTCCGACCCAGGAAAAAGATAAAGCCAAGGGGGGGTCGCGTGTATTTATAACATTCGCTAGAATAGATAGGATGTGGGACATCCTGAAAAATATATGCCTACCACGGACGCCGTTTGGCAATGCTCCAAAGTAATCTACGTCCACGGTCAAACACGTTTTTACCGGTCAGCTAGTTAACAACGAACCGCTTACTTTCATTTTCTTTTAGTCATTTTTCTTGAGTTTACACTCTCTCATCAGTGTTCGCCGTCTATCCGGTGTTTCTTTGCATTTCGATATATCATAAGTCTTACTACATATTGCACCATAATTTATTACACATCATAAAACGTGTAATCGAATGAAATGTTCTGAGAGTGTGAATAAGTAAATGAAGAATTATAATATTTTAATAAATGATTAAAAAAGTTCTCTTATGTCAAATTTCAATGCACAGGTAATTATTGATGAAATTGAATTACATACTATTCCAACTTTCTCTGGTGACAAATGAATTAATTTCAAATACTTTAGAGGAATGCATAATTGAAAAAGGGAGAAACGAAAGAAGTAATAGTTACTCGTATTCTGGCACGTATCGATTCCTCGTGAGCCGGTCTTCGTCTTGGCGATACTGCGAGGCTAGACGATGGTCGCTTTTGCTTCTCATCAGGCCCGGCGAACCACCGGGCGGCGCTAGACTGCTGGAGCTTCCCAGGAGTCCTCCGCTTCCGGTCTCCGGCTTAATGTTCAGCTCGCCGTAACCGGCTACGTGGAGGACCAGCTGGTTCGGGTCGTGTGCCATCACAAAACGCACTCGCCGACTGTAGTCTCCGGCCTCGTACTCGAAGTTTCTGTAGGTAATTGTAAATTACCGATCAACCCGGTCTTTACTTTTCCTCCTTTTTGTTTGCAAAGAAGTTACGTCGTTACGGTCACCTACAGGTTCTGCGAGGGCGAAACTTTTGTTTAACGATGCAAGTTTCAAGAGCATTCTTTTTGGATTAGTACTGCCACGATATTACCAAAGAAGTTCGCCACTGAATGACTTTTGATCTTACTGGTTGCAAATATCGCCATATCTTTAATATTATCTCGAAGCACGCGAACTTTTATATTTTCATTTATAATCATACGGGAATTTATATTCTTTAATTAAATAATTACACATTTTTCACAACTATTTTCCTATGGTTTTCAATTTGCTAATACCACTAATAATAATTGAAAAAAATCACCATCCACTTTGATGTCAAGTTCGATGAAAGAAGGAATAACGGAGATCGAAATACTGATAAAATTGCCTTTCCAGGGATTAAATTCGAGGCAACTTTATATTTCATGGGAATCGTTATTCCCTTAGGAGTCCGAGTCAATGAATTTTCTAGGGAACACCAGATGTACTATAGATCTTAATCTTGCCCAAGAAAGATAGGAATCGAATTCCAAAACTTTTATATCATATTGGTACATAAAAGTTTCAGTACTACTCATTAATTTTAATCATAATACTGAAAGATGTTTAAAAAAATTTCATCGTTTCAGTAAATAATTTTTTGTTGCTATCGAATGGCCATTAACTTAAAGATTCATATTTCCATATAAGAACGATGGAAATCAGAACAGAGGACAGTGTCCCGCCACAAAATAATTTTTTTTATTGCAAACGTTGATCGGTTGTTCGACAAATTTCAGGAATGAAAGAAAATTCGGATTATGAGTTACAGACCTGATGAATTCCACCGTACGTAGGAAGAGCTCTTTTGTGTCGAGGAGCTCCGAATCGTCCCATGGCACGTTCTCATTGATGTGAGCCTCCGCCAAATCGCAGTTGCTCTGGATATTTGCGATTTCCAATTCGAGATTCTCTTTGAGTTGAATCAGGCCTCTGAGTTCGGTGCCGAGGTATCGATCGACCTCGTTACGCAGATGTTCCGTACGGTCTTTCAAAGCCTTGCTCAGCCTCCGATAAATCTCGTCCACCTCTTCCGCGACCGAGGCGCAGTTTGTTTGCAGACCCAACGTGTTTTTCTCCACCAAAGCCAGCGCGTCCTGCAACCTGTGCAGCCCTCTGCGAATCTGCAAAGAGGATTATGATTGAATATCGATCGTAATCGCTTGGCGAACACACCCGATTCGCTTCAAACTTTCTTTTCACACTCGAACTACTGCTATTATCATTGAGTGCTATCCATCATCGCCTTTATACAGTCTTTCAAATCGTACGTCTAAACAATGTATGTACATTATTCTCTGAGTTTAAACCACTGTCTTCTTTAAAATAATAATTCGTTTCTTCTTTTTATATCGTCATAAGTATTACAAAAAATGCACTTACAAACATTGTTCAATAATCAATGCCCGCGAATGTAATATTTAATAAAATAAATTTTTGGCACACCGAGAAAATAGAATTTTATGACAATGTACAGTTCTGTTCTTGCGCTATCTTTTTCTTTAATACGAAAATTTAACGAATGCTTGCTCCGACATTACTGCACGCTAATTAAGTCCGTACATTTTGAAAGTTGTTTTAACTTTTCCCACAAAATAGTAAAGCAGGGGTGCGCTCGATGCCGAGTTTCGAGACGGTTGTTTTGAACGCATTAGGGGCGGATAGATACGTACACACCGGTGGTCAGTTATTTTTGGATTGTTACATGCATGTACGTATGTAGTTGCACGTACTCGCGGTCGAATTGACCTGAATCCGTGATATTCGTACCGAGTCGTTTGATACGCAGCTTGCTTTCATTGCTTCCGGATCTGTATAAAATTTCAAGGCAGATCGCTTCGAGTAGAATCGGACCCGATCCCAGCGTTATTCGCCGTCGAAAAACCATGAACGATTTCATTAAAGCGGGCGTTATTCCAATGAACAATGTTGCAATTCACGATCGATATCGTCAAAGTAGAAACGCGGAACAGTTTCGCGATTGTTCGCCCCATTAGGTGAACACGTAACCTGAACCACCGGCTTCAACCTCAATCATGTAGTCCCGATTCATGAATTTCTCATTCAAATCCAAAAAATGCCTCCGAGAATGACCACTGCATTTTCAACGCGGTTTCGAGCGATGGTTTAAATCAGGAATATGTTATCCGGTTCCTGAGAACGTTGGAAATCGAAGATGGAGTGAGCGACATGAGCCAATTAGGAGGACTTGTTACAGTACGATAATTCGTAACATTTTCTCTACCGTTCCTGTTACAGGAACTCGTCTACGAGTTTCGAGGAAGACTTCCTGACATTGCATAATGAGTACCGAGCCACTCACGATTCTCCCCCACTAACGATCGATGACGAGGTATTTACAGATTTCATTCTTTTATGTCTACTTTTAATAAGAATTTCTCTCGTTGCATATTTGAGATTAATTTGAGAGCACAAGCACTCTCCTAGAGTTTGCGAAGCACTATAGAAAAGTAATCCAAGCCATTTACAATATATTAACCGTTTGAGTCCCAACGGGTATTGGAAAAACACTGTCGAAAAATCCCAACCAGCGCAATCGCGCTTTCCCTAAATGAGTACTGGGATTTTTCGACACAAAATCTGAAGAGCGCTCAGACTCAAACGGTTAAAGAATCAGTATACGTATAAAGAAAAATATTTTCATCGTGGTGAACTGCATGGATAATGAGATTATGTAAATTTAATTAAAATTATCAATCTAATACCATGGGAAATTTTGATAAGACGTATCACGAATGGAATAGAATAGAATATCGTGCGCTAAAGTGAGAATCCTCATTAACGTGTAAAATTCTTTCAAAGTTAAGTAAAGCTGCGCAAGAATGGGCGGAGAGATTAGCGAAGAATGGCGTTATCGAGTACAAATCGGACCCGGGGTATGGCGAGAACATATACGTGAGCTCTTTGAGGGCTGCACTCGACGATTTTCAGCCGAGGGAGCCATTACAAGCTTGGTGAGCTTTCGAAAATTTTAATTAAACGCGATCGCGTACAGCGTTCCTGACTCCATCCATTATGAAATATTTTGCCTCTACGGTAAAAGAAGTTATTTCAACACATATGTGCAACCTACAGATTTTATATAAACATTGAACAGAAAATATAAAAGATGCATGTAATGCGGAAAAGTAATATGTATGATAATTTTGGTACGATATCTAGGTATCACGAGGGTAAGTACTTCAAGTACGGTGAAAAAGATCCAAGGAGTTTGGAAGGCGTGCGCCACTTCACTCAGTTGGTATGGAAAGATTCGAAACAGTTAGGCGTCGGAAAAGCCGAGGACGATATAGGCAAAATCTACGTGGTTTGCTTTTATCAACCCCCTGGCAACGTGGCCGGAGAGTTTGCCGAAAATGTACAACAACCAATCAAGGTAACTATACACTCAATACGTTCCTGTTATAGTCGTGATTGATAACATAAGAATTGCAATTAAACAGACGAGCTGTCTTTTAAATCTCTAGCAATAAAACTCATGATTCCACATAATGGCAGTGATGTACCGACCTAATTTCGAGTCGTATAATCAATTACAGTCATAATGTTTGAGAATTTCATCATAATTTGAAAGCTTAATTCGTTAGGTGCATATGAAAGATCGCTTATCGTTAGTTCCTCAAGCTTGAATTTTCGGATTCAAAATCTGTCATTATAAATCATTGAAATTAGCAGCGGAACGTAACATTCAAAAATAGATTTTAGATTGATAAAGTATTTAAATGAAATTTATATATGATATTTTATAAAACTACATAAAAATGTCGTGTTTGAAAGAAGTATTTTATATGCACAAATCAGTGTTCGATTTACGTCGATTCCGAGGAAGGAGTAACTTCGTTCCCGTCTCACGGAATTCGTAATCAGGAACGAATTCACGATGAATTCATTTTATGGACATGGGTTTTAATCTTCCCCGATATTGAACCGCGATTCGTTCTAGTTCAATAGCCGATTCGGTTAATCGCCGGGACTTTTTAATTGTCAGGAAAGCGGGATTGGGAAACTAGTTAGAACCAAAGGACGCGAGTAAAGGGTTCGGGGGTATTCGACTGTGAAATTGTTTCCTTTCCTATGTTCATTCCTTCGAAGACAAAGTCTCTCAATCAGTTGTATTAGCTTCGTGTATATATAATGGAATGTAATTTTCTTCAAACTTCTATTTTTCTTCCAAGAATTAAATAGTTATTTGACATATTTCTAAATAATTGAATAATTTACTTTAGATGTATTCTAAGATTATTCTATACTATTCCTAAAATCTGTTTTTAAACACTGGATTTGTTTTTATCTGGAGAAGATTCTAAAGACGATATACATACCATAGTTTCACGTTGTTGTAACGCGTTTGCGAAAATATTTGTGCGCGCTCATCACGACTCACCTGGGAATTGATGCGCACGATTTCACGCCTGAGGATGTCCATGTGAGCATCCTTGCACTCGGGGCAACACTTCTTCTCACAGTGGACACAGAGGGAGCAATAACTTTTCTCCGAACAAACGCCGCATCGTTCCATGGTCTGGCCGCTGGTCGGATCCGGCAATTCCCCGGTGATCTCGATGTGCAATTCCAGGAACCGTTGCAGCGTCACGTTGGTCGGGAACGCTTGCACACCCTGGCGATAACACGACAGTGGTTAGAGCCGGGAACCACTCCGCGTAACCACCAATTGAATAGCCACCGGTACTGGCGCCGGGAATGAAAATGAAAGAAATCCGAAACAGAAGAAGAAGGGCTTTGATTGCGGGGCTCGTACGCGGCTTTTACCCGAAATTGAATTTCATAAGGAAATCGTCTTTAGTCGTGTCCCTTCGTTTTATTCTCCTCTTCCACGTCCTCTGTTCGCTCCTTCTCTACGTATACTTTTTTTTCCATTTTATCCGTTCGGTCATTGTTTTATTACCGGTTTAATCTCGTTTGTCGTTCGCATTCAGCCGCACAGTCGCTTTTAATTAAGGGCAACCGAGTTACGTTTGACGTTGAACGGTTACGCTTTTAGGGTGGAGAGAAAGTAAGACAAACGGGTATTCGCGAGAGGTGTCACTATGAAACGCGGAACTTCATCCAATTTCATGAGGGATCCCTCCGTCAGTGTACATATATTCATCGTTGAATAAAGATGAGGCCCACGCATTATACTTGGTTAAGCGGAACCTTCTATTCGGGTATATTTAATTTCGCGTGTATATGTACGTCTGTGTAGTGTATACGGTCGCATTGTCTGCGTGGCATCGCGGCCGAACGGGCTTACTCGAACATATTTTTCAATCCGCCATTGACGTCAAACGACGGTTCGTTTGACGTCGTGAAAACAAATTTTAATTCGGGAAAACGATCGAACTCTTCTGTATCAGTGAAAACGTTCTCAAAAGGTTCGAGGGAAGCGTAACAACCGTTTTACAATTGCTCTTGTTCTTCTGTTAACTTGTCGGAAATGACAAAACTCGCGGACGTTTCGGGGGGTTTCGATTGCAGGAAACGCTCTCAAAGAAGTAATAACTTTGTAAGTGCGTGGAAAGTTCGCGGTGCCACCGAGTCCAATATTCGCGGCATTCCCGCGTAATCGTCGGAAAGTTTCCCCGTTAACGTTCCTCCCTCGTTCTTCTCCGTTTTTTCTTTTAAAACGATTCATTGCCCACCTGGTACGGTATACGATGTTCCGCCCGGCATTCTGGACATTTCACTTGTCGGCGCACGTAGTCAACCAGCCCGTCCATGCACGGTTCCATGCAGAAGCTGTGCTGGCATGGCAATAGCTTCGGGTTCCTGTATCGGTCCAAGCATATCGCGCACGTTAGCAGTTGCTCGAACTGCTCCATGCCTGAAATACATAACATGCAGCTTTTATTATTTCTTGTTATTGAAGAGTCTACGATAAAATAAAAAGGAAGTAATCTTTTAAAATAATAATTAACCATGATACGTATATTTACGTTTCACAAAATTATTATTAGACTGCGAAAACTTTTATGCAAAATAAAGGATTCGTTAAAAAACTGTGTTCTAAATAGATATTTCATTTATCATGTAAAAATTGTAATAGGCACTCATCTTTTAATATTTTGTATATTTATGAATATGCCAAACATTCTTTATATTCAATGACGATACAATTTTTTATAAATGCACAAAATCCACTGTCTGATTATTATTCATCTAAACTGCGTTGGTGTAAAAATAATTGAAAATCTGAATCAGAATTTATTGGTAGATTCGTTTGAGTACGCGAAAGTACGGAACATGTGATAAGTTCGTTGATGTATAAGTGCCTATATTAAACGAGACACATCACGGGATTCACCGATTTCTTGTAAACCATCCGATAGCTTTGCGTCAGTGCATAAAGTACGGAGTCATCCTCGTCATAGTTAATAAATAGTCTAGGCGTACGATCTGTAGCCTGTTGCAATTCGAGATCTCTATTGTGCCAACTCGTTATTCATCGTGTCGTACGTAGATATCACGTCCCCAAGTAATATTTTGCCGTTGAGATCCAACGAGCATGGAGATTGCGAGAAAAGATGCGCAAGCTTGGAAAACATGTGCTTGAAATTCAGGCTCGTTTGAACGGCAGATCGCGATTAATCTAGCAATATCAATTTACTGTTACTAATTGGCGGTAAATGTAGAATCTAAATGGAAAATTTGGCAGCACGGATACGAAATTATTTCACATATGCGAATGTTTAGCACGCTTAAATATTTTTATCTAGTTAGGTGTGTTAATTTAAGATAATATAACGAACAGATTTTTAGGCTCATGTTGAAGTTCGAAGTTATTTTTTACTGTAACGCACCGAACAAGCGTTAAATCTTATTTAACGAAGCCGGTGACCAGATAATTAATAAATCAACGCCGTTTATCATTTTTAAAACGAGCGGAAAAACCGGCAATAATTTTTGTTCCACGTCTCTGGTTAGTCTTCCCAATTGAATCTTGAAAGACATCGATGAAACGCGGGTGGGTTAAATTTAAAATCCGACAACACGCGCACGGAACCGGGGAGCGGAAGATTATTTTCAAGCGTTCTTTCGTAGCCGGCACGTAGCCACGGTCAGAGCCAAATTCATTTCGATTTTCGCAACGTCGACGTCGGGATAACGTAGCTATGCCCGAAGGCCGTGCCAAGGACCAATAAGCCGTAGAACTCGTCGCACCGGTAACAAGCGACTACATTAGAAAGCATTGTTACTCTTAGGCGAACCACTTGTTGATCTTAAACCGAATTCTCGGGTGCAACAGGCGGCTAGGTTGTATCGTATTAGTAACTTTCTGGATCGCCAAGTTAACTAGAATGGTAATTCTAAAGCCTCGGTGTATCGAGATTTAATCATTTTCATACCAACTTAATCACGAGAATTACAC